AAAGTGTGTGTTCCATTGTAATTCACTATTCTCTACTTTGGAAAACCACTCTCTTGAGAAGGAAGCCTACATGGATTGCAAAAAGAAGGCCATTTTCATTGTGTGTGTGTGTGTGTGTGTGTGTGTGTATATATATATATATAGAGAGAGAGAGAGAGAGAGAGAGAGAGAGAGAGAGAGTTGTGTGCCTTTCAAGTATATCTCTGTGTGTAATAATAATAATAATAATAGTTGTTGTTGTTGCTATTATTACTTTCATTATATATATGGATGAATACTTATATGCCGAATTGATTTAGCAGATAAATGTTATAGAATTATGCTAATAATGATGATAATAATTAGCATCATTCTGTACCATTTATCTGCTAAATCAATTCTGTATATATGTATTAATACACACACACACATATATACACACATCATAGCATGTTAAACACGCATAACAGTTCTGTATGGCAATTCTGTATGGGAGGGGAAAAACTGTAAAGGCACACACACAATATGGATTTCAATGGACTGAGGACTGTGGACTGGTCCAGATTTTGCAGGATCCAAAGAGTTTGCTCTGTTTGAAGGAGGAATATTTACTAAACGAAACACCTGCAAGACTAGATTGCATCATGTGGGGAGGAAGAGATCTCCCCCTAATTTATAGGGTGGCATTAAAACAAAATGGAAGGAAGAATCAATAGCCTTCCTGCCCTGTTTTTTTTTTTCCCTTTGGACATTGGCCAAAGGAAGAACAAAGTGCTTTTAATTGAGTGGTTTGTTTTTTTAAATGTGAGGCTTATTTAGTCACGACGATCATCGTGTCTGTTAAAAACACACACACACACACACACACATTTTAAAAAAAAAAATCTACAAAATTCTGCTTTTAGAAATGGAGTCCTAGAGAGATAGAATGGCACAAGGTTAGGAATTTAAATGATTTGAGGGGAGAAGGACACCGAGGTCCCCTAAATGGCATTGACTTCCATTGGAAATAACATTAAAGAAATTGCCACAAAATGTGTGTGTTGTGTGCCTTTCCGACTTATGGCGACCTTAAGGCGAACCTATCATGTCTGTTAAACACACACATCTATTTCCTTGGCAAGGTTTGTTCAGAGGAGGCTTTGTCCTTGCCTTCCTCTGAGGCTGAGAGAGTGTGACTTGCTCAAGGTCCATAGCCGCCCCCAAAATGTCAGCGTTGAGACTGAAGATCTTAACCCGAAAATGAATGTCTACTCAAAAAGGAAGGCTCCGTTGGGGGCCGCATCCGCACTGCCGAAGTAATCCGGTTTGGCATCACTTTAACGGGCATGGCTGCTCAATGCTGTGGAATTCCGGCTCAGCTCTGGTGCCACAACAAAACTACAATTCCCAGAATTCCATAGCACTCAGCCATGGCAGTTGAAATGGTGTCAACCCGGATTATTTCGACAGTGTGTATAATAAGTGTAGTGGTGCTTACTTCCAGGTTAAAAAAAACGTGTGTAGGACGGTAGCCTCAGAGAGGTGTATTATTATTATTATTATTATCATTATTATTATTATTATTATTATTTGGACTAAGACTCTGGGGACCTGGGTTCCAATCCCTCCAGTCATGTAAACTCATTGGGTGACCTTGGGCAAGTCACACTCTCTCAGCCTCAGAAGGTGGCCAATGGCAAACCCGCCTTTGATGAAAGCTGCCAAGAAAAAAAAAATCCCACAATAGGGTCGCCATAAATCAGAAACGACTTGAAAGCACACAACAACCACACCAACCACAACTACAACAGGATGTCAGCCTGACAAGAGCTTTAGATGGAAAAGGAGAGAGCCCTCATCCTTGGCAGGAAGCGCCTTTTTATGTAGTGTTTTTGGTCCAAGACACACTGCAGAAATAATCCGGTTTGAGACCGCTTTAACTGCCCTGGCTCAAGGCTAGGGAATTTTGGGAACTGTAGTTTTGTGAGACATTTAGCCTTCTCTGTCAGAGAGAGCTCTGGTGCCACAACAAACTACAGTTCCCAAGATTCCCTAGCCCTGAGCCATGGCAGATAAAGCGGTCTCAAACTGGATTATTTCTGCAGTGTGTTTCTGGACCTAAATATTTCACAAAACTATAGTTCCCAGGATTCCTTAGCATTGAGCCATGGCAGATAAAGCGGTCTCAAACTGGATTATTTCTGCAGTGTGTTTCTGGACCTAAATGTTTCACAAAACTATAGTTCCCATGATTCCTTAGCATTGAGTCAGGACAGTTAAAGCGGTCTCATACTGGATTATTTCTGCAGTGAGTTTCTGGACATTAAATTTACTTCGGGACCGAATTTGGGAAGGAGTCTTTCCTTCATGGCGTCAGCGCGATGCCCAGCTCAAACACCACACGGTTAAGCCTCACACAATCTGTTATTATTGCCGCCATTTCTCTGGAAGTGTTAAATAAAGGCAAGAAATTCTGAGGTAATTTTTTTTGCCTGGCCAGCCATCTCCGCCCAAGAAAAGCCCAACAGAGAGACTCCTATTTTATACAGTATATTTTTGAATCCTCGTTGCCTCTCTCTGGAAGGAGGAGAAGAAGGAGAAGGAGAGGAAGGAGCCATGACTGAAAATGTCGCCTTTCCTTTCCTGTCAGCGGCGGCTGTTTGCCTCTTTTCCTCCTCCTCCTCCGCCTTCTTCTGGAGGATTTTTTATTTTTATTTTAATGACACATGTCAGCCACCTCAGGCAGAGAAGGAGGAGGAAGGAAATTCCCCTCACTATATATATATCTATATACCTATATATCTATATATATATATTGCAGTGGGTGACCATTATTATAGTATATATCTAGCAATGTTCACCCACTGCAATATATAGATATATATATAGCAATGGTTTCAGGGGTGTGTGGGAAAAAAAAGGATCACAACAAAAAATATTGAATAAATTCCCTTTTAATTTATTTGATCATTCCACATTACGGAGCTATGAATTGCTCAAATTTGATAACAAGTACTCAATTCAACTCATTATGTAAGTTAAATTAGACTTCGATAAAATTTCAGTGGCGCGCAGTGGTTCCTGAAATGAAATGTAATTTGTGCAAGAATTTGTTGTATCTGTCACAAATATTTCCAATTAGCGGCCGTAATTATTTGATAGTTTCTGCAATTACGGCTTAAACGGGTTGAAATTTGGGACTGTGGAGGACCCCTAATTGGCCTAAATTTGATATTTTGCATATTTGCATAATGAGGAAATTGGTAGAAAATTGTGTTCATTCATTTGTGAAAAATCCTATGAATTTTATGAATTTGAAAAGGCCCTTGTTTGTGCAGTCGGTGACTTTGCCTGCTGATCCCTGAGGAGCTCGCGCTCAACGCCTGAACGGGCAGGGCGCCAACTTCTCCTCAGAAAGCAGAAAAGCGGGGAGAGGGGGAGGGGAACCGCCGCGGGAGTGCGCGCGCCAAACAACGGGGGGGGGGCTCCTGCGCATGCGCCACCGCCTCAGGCTGGCCTCTGCCGTACTGAAAAAGCATCGGAGGGGGCGCGTGCGTGTGTCGGCACGCGAGCGCGCGTATGCGCGCGGTTCTGCAGAGCGGGAGGAGCTAATTGTGAGGCTTTTGGCATTCTATATATTCGGAGAGCCAGCGTGGCGTAGTGGTTTGAGCGTTAGGCTACGACTCTGGTAGACTTGGGTTCGATTCCCGGCTCTGCCATGAAACCTGCTTGGTGGTGACATTGGGCGAGTCACACTCTCTCAGCCTCAGAGCATGGCCACACCCTCGACTACAAATCCCAGGGTTCTGGTGTCTTATTTAATTCTGTCTGTGGTGTGGATCCTTGGGCAAGTCACACTCTCTCAGAGGAAGGGCAACGAAAACTCCTTGAGACTGCTATAAGTCGGAAATCACCAGGAAGAACAAGCAGCAGACATGAGTGTTTGGACTATGATTCTGGAGATCAGGGTACAAGCCAAGTTCAGCCATGTAAACCTGAAGTGGCTTTAGGCAAGTCACTCTCTCTCAGCTTCAGGGAAAGGCAATGGCACCCTCTCTGCAGAAATCTCCACTATAAGTGGACTAATGACTCTGGTAGTTCAAATCCCTGCTTCAGAAAAAAACAAAACAAAAACAAAACCCACTGGTTTGCCATTGCCTTCTCTTGAGGTTGAGAAAGTGTACCCATGGTCATCTAGTGGGTTTTGTGATCAAGCAGAGTTGTCGCCCAGTGCTCATATATAGTCTTATCACATGTCAAAGACATGCTCTAGGTTTCCAGAGTCAGGCTGCATCCACACTGGAGAAATAATC